CTCTCCCTCTCTCCCTCCCTCTTTCTCTCCCTCCCTCTCTCCCTCTTTTCTTCTCCCTCCTCCCTCTCTTCCTCTCTCTCTCTCTTTCTCTCCCTCTCTCCCTCCCTCTTCATCTCTCGCTCTTTCTCTCCCTCTCTTTCCCCCCCCCTCTTCCTTTCTGTCTTCCTCCCCCTCCCCCTCCCATTTTCTTTCCCTCTGCGCCTTCCTCTCCCTCGGTCTGTCTGCCTCTCACTCTCTCACTGACTCTGTTTCTCTCTTGCTTTTCATGTTCGGGCACCTTCTGGGACCGTTGGAACCCCGCCCGCATTTGTCATGTGACGTCGGGGCGTGTAATACAATCCTTGGCTTTGTGACCCCAGGCTAATAGAGCAATGTTTGCGTGTTGCGTCCTTTGCTTGCCAAGCGTCCTCCGCAATGAATCCCATTTCGGCCAGCAGTTTCCTCTGGGACACCGCCCAAGAGCTACTGCTGGGGGGGGGGGCTGCCAAAGGCCCACATATATCCCCCACCCCACCCCGGCTGATCACTGAAACCCCTGTAGTCCTGGCCCCCCTCCCACCCATTAGTGAAGATGGGGCACACTCCTCTCCCACACCCATGTTGCTGTCCCCCTCCCCTGTGTGTCAGATCCAAGAACAACAGGCACAGAGGGCTGAACCTGCGGGGGTGGGGTAGAAGACAGTGCCTCTGAACAAGAGCAAAGTGCGTTTTCTTCCCCCTGGGTGTCACCGCTCAGGATCAAAGGCCAAGGATTGTCTTGGAGGGGGGGGAGTGCCTGGAATATTCCAGCTCCAGACCTTTTCGGAAACGAAAAGTCACCTCAGTGGTTGGCTTATGGCCACTTAATAAAGCAAAAGTGGGGTCCAATTTCCCCCAAGAAACCGAGAGTCCATAGTCACTTCCTTTTGCAATGCCCCGCCCACTTTCTACAGCCCCCTCCCACATTTCGCTGGACCCACGCCAGGGGTTTTCCTCACTGGGAGGGGACTTTCCACGAACTGGCCAATCAAAACTCTGAAACGGGCTTGGTCACTAGTTGCCAGGCAGGGAAAGACATGTTCTCGTCCGATTCACCACTTAAGCTGCAACGGCTGCCTTAAAAGTTCCATATCTCTGCGGGAGAGATTCGTTTCCCCCCCCACACACACCAATGCTTTATTAAAGTTTACTGTACTATAAAATACAATAAAATTAAAGATTTTTTTCCAAAGGGGGGGGGTCAGGATTAAAAAGTGAAAAAAGAAAAGAAAAAAGGCGTTGACCTTTTTCAGTACAGTGAAAATACTAAACTACATTTGACTTTTGAATTAGTTGTTGCCAGCCATTTCTAAAACTACACAATTATTCAATCTTCAAACTAAAGTCTAATTTTTTTTTCCTATTTCAAGCCTAAAAAAGAAACAATTTCCCAGTGGAAACAGGACTGAATAAAAATCTTCTCTTTGTTTAAAAATCTTTGCATTGCCGTACCAACCAAATCCATTTGTCTCCATCAATTTTTTTTTCAATTGTGAGGGGGAAAAAAATACATTTCCATTTACACTTGTTTAATTTTCTGCACTGTCATTATCTGCAGGCAGTCCTCGTCTTACAACAGTTCATTTAGTGACCATTCAAAGTTATGGCACTGAAAAAAGTGACGTGACCATTTTCCCCACTTAGGAGCGTTACCGCATTCCCCAGCGTCACATGATTTATATTCGGTTGCTTGACAACTGATTCCCATTTATGACGGTTGCAACGTCCCAGGGTCATGTGATTTTTTGCAGCCTTCTGACATGCTGTTGTGGTTCGCTGGCTGCAGGTGTGGACGGCTGAGGTCTCGGAGAGCGAGGACTCAGATGAGGGGCCTGCATGTGATGCAGGGATGGGACCAGGACTATCGGAGAGTGGAATGCTGCCTTCGGACATTGTGGAGGATGGCAGCAGTGATGAAGAGGCCCCCGAGGAGCCTGTGCCCAGCGCGTGTGCACGCAGGGCTGCTCAAAGGAAAGAGCAGCTGCAGCAGCATGGGTGACTCAGGAGTAAGGCTGCAAAGTAATGGCCCCTCCCTTATGAGATAAAAGCCAGCTGAGAAACCGGAGTTCTTTGCAGGAAGCAAAGAAGTTTTTGCACTCAAGCCTTGTGGACATTCAGAATATCTTGATTGGTGTTTAGAGACTCTTTGCGTTTGAAATATTTCTTAGTAACTTTATCTAGTGCTCTTGGTAGCCTTGCACCACCTTGGAAAGGCTCGTTCTTATCAGAGGCAATTAGTTTGAAACAGCCTTTTAACCGGGAAGGAATAGAATTCGTAAAGAATCATTAAAAGGTTTTGCTGTTACCTCTGTTTTGTGTTTGCTTCCTTGGAACAAGGTTTGGGTCAGAACACATGCAAACTCACTGGGGAAAGCCAGATTCACTTAACAACCGTATTACTAATTTAATGACTGCAGTGATTCAGCTAACAAACGTGACCAGAAAAGTCATAAAATGTGGCAAAACCCACTTAAAGAATTTCTCAACATACATTTTGGGCTCAGTTGTGGTCACATGCCGAGGACTACCTGTATAATAGCACAAATTGCCTCCAGAAGTTATAAATGCTCCAACACTGGAAATTTTTAAGAAGAGATTGGATGACCATTTGTTGCCAATCTTTTGGACCTCAGGAACCACCAAACTCATAATTTTAAAGCCCAGGGACCACTAAGTGGTTCTGTGGGCATGGCCTAATTTGTGGGTGTGGCTTGGTGGTCATGTGACTGGCTGGGCATGGCTTGTATTTAAATATTTATATAAATATGCAACTTTTTTATACAAAAAGAGCAACTTTTACCCAAAAGCAGGCAAAGCAGGCAGGCAGATTGAGTTGCTCACAGAATCACAGATTCATTCAGAGATCTATCTATCTGCCATTGGCTAGCTCAGTCTGTCACATAAAATTTGCTTGCAAGCAAACTCACAAAATTAACTCACAACACCATGTATGTGAATATTGAATTTTTTTATATAAAAAAGAGCAAATGCCCAAAATCAGGCAAAGCAGGCAGGCAGATTGAGTTGCTCACAGAATCATTCAGTGATCTATCTATCTGCCATCAGCTAGCTCAGTCAGTCACATAAAATTTGCTTGCCGTGAGTCTGCACTGAATAATAGAACCTTCAGTCCTAAAGGAGGTTCGGCTGTGCTTAAAAGCAGAGCCAAAGTTCTAAAGACTAGCTAGAAAGCAAGAAATCCAGCCATTTCCTGCTTCCTAGCTAATCTAAATCTCCTGGCACAGCAGAACGGCTGATGGTCAGGAAAAGAAAAAATAGCAATTTAACAGGCAAGTTTGCTGGGTAAGGAGTGAGTGGGCGGGGAGGGTTCCCGTGGGCCATGTGGGCAGCGCAGCCTTGTGTTTCTGCATAGCCTGGATTAATTGCTTTTGGGGGGGTGCTCTGGGAGTGAGATTTTTCTGCGGCTCACCAAAAATTTCTCACGGCCCACCAGTGGGCTGCGGCCCACCGGTTGGCAACCGCTGGTCTGAAGTGATGTAGGGTTTCTTGTCGGAGCAGGGGGTTGGACTAGAAGACCTCCAAGGTACCTTCCAACTCTGTTATTCTATTCTGTTCTAAAAATCACGATATTTTTTTTCAAAGTTTTTCACCGACGAGCCCCGAAAGGGAAAACGTTTTGTTCCGATTTCATATCCCCTTTGAAACATCCGCAGAAGAGATTCTTTTGCCACCACGAAATCGACGGCTTTCAGGCTCCTCTGACCCTCCCTCCTCCCTTCCTCCCCCCCACCCCACCCCCCGCCAACCTACAAACCACAATCAGCATCGCTTCCCTTTCTAAAAGCAAAAAAAAAAGGGACAGGAACAGACACGCATAGCTGAGTAATATCTTTATTAGAAAGAAGAAGCATTATTAGCCAGCCTTGAAGCGTTCCGATTCTGCAAAAAAATATATTAAGGAGCTGATTTTGCAGGACAGAAATTTTTTTTTGAGGGGGGGTGTGTATTGTGCAGAAGGAAGCACTAAGTGGGGGGGGGGGGGAAACCTTACTAATTCGACAAGGAGCACAAGGGAAATGGCTAAATCACTGTCCAGGGTCCTGAAAAAGGGGGTAGGGACCTCTGCCTTTGTCTACGCAAGCAGGCTTTGACGTTCTATTCAATGGGAGCAAGCAGGCTCCGGGCCTGGGGTCGGGGTCGCGGCTGTAATAGTGGGGGCAGTCAGAGGTTGCCTGAAGGGAGGTCTCTGACAGAGCAAGATGGGTGTGTGTGTGTGTGTGTGTGTATGTGTGTGTCATTGAAGAGGGATCGCCCGCCCTGCCTTCCCCAACGGACGAAGGGATCCCGAATAAACCCACGCAGCGGATCAGAAAGGGTGGGGAGAAAATGACTCAAGAGGTGGGGGATGAGCACCAGAGAGGGCGCCCCTTTTAGTTAGCCTTGGTCCTGCAGGGGTGGACCAACTTCCCCCTTAAAACCAGCCTTCTCCATCGCTAGGGGCCTTTCGGAAAAAGGTCCTGCGTTTTCACTCAATAAAGGAGAATGTTTTGTAGCTCAGGGTTGATAGGAGGGGTCCTGGGTGCTCTGTGAGCTGGAATGTTTTCTTCAAGACGTTTCATGACCCAGCTAGGTAATCGCATCAGTGCTGACGGCATTACCTAGTTTGGATCATGAAACGTCTGCAAGAAGACAGCCAAGCTCAGAGATCGCTCCCTTCTAACACTGATAATGTTAGCTATTGGGGTCATGAAATGTTTGCAAGGAAACAGTCAAGCTCGGAGAGCGCCGAGGACTCTCCCACGCCTCCATGCCCCTCCCAAAAAACCTCTCTCGCTCCAAAAAACCCCTCCTACATTTCCCTCTAGACCCGATGCTTGGAAGGCAAGCAGCCCCAGGAGTCCCTGGGAATGTTTCACTTCTGGGGCCTCCCACAAGGGCGGTGGGGGAAAAAAATGCTGTCAGTGGGGCAGACAGCGTCCACCCTGCTCTGGAGTCATCACGAGAGTCGGAGAAAGAAAAATGTGCAGCACAAGTGTAAATGCAGCTCCCGGGGTTGGGGTCAGGGCGGGCAAGAGCCAAGCCTGCAATCGTGGTTTACCTGGAAGGAAGAAAAGAAAGAAAGGGGGGTGAGAATTCTGGGTGGCGGAGCCACTGGAGAGAAAGACCTGATGTATAATGCTATGCCTGATCTCTGCGGTAGAGTGAAATGGTCAGAAAGTGATAATTGGAAAATAATGGATACTGCAAAAGGAGCCAAGCTGGGCATCCAGGAGTGAGGATGAGTGCCAGAGGAGTAATACCTCCTTAAAAAACCTTGCTCTAGCTGACCAGGCTGGTAGCACCCTTTCCAGGGTTACAGGAGAAGATGGTCAACAGTTTTGAAGGCAGAAGAAGGCTTTATGCCCCAAACACAGATAAAACGGTAGAACCATCTTCTAGACCAGGGGTCGCCAACCTTTTGGACCTCAGGGATCACCAAACTCATAATTTTAAATCCCGTGGACCGCTAGTTCTCAGGGGAAGAGGTGTGGGGGGTATTTTGCGATTGGTAGGAAAAACGGGGTGGGGGATTTTTTTGCAGACTTTTTGGGGGGATTTTCCCAAAAAGAGACCTTGGGGAAATCCCCAAAAAAGTCCGCAGGAAAATTCCCCACCCCATTTTTCCTACCGATCGATCGTTCTTTATTTGAGATCGCAGGATACTGGCATTTCCAGCTCCGTTTTCAGGAGGAGAGAGAGAGAGAGAGAGGGAGGGAGAGAGAGACTTTTGGCTTCATGCAAGGAAAGCAGCAGAAGTCTTTCTTTCTCTCCTGGCGGAGTTTGGGGGAGAGAAAGACTTTTGCTGCTTTCCTTGCATGCGGCCAAAAGCAGAAGAAGAAAGAAGCAGAAGGAAGCAGCCTGGGGGCCAGGCAAGCTCCCCCCCCCCCCCCTCCCCCCCCTCCCCTCACTATCTCGTGTTGTTTGCAATGCAAGCGACGCAAGCCTTGTGTTCCCATGGGCTGTGTAAGTGGTGCAGCCTTGTTCCTGCGCAGCCTGGATTAATTGCTTTAGGGGGTGCTCTGACATTTCTCTGTGGGCCACCACAATTTTCTTACGGACCACCAGTAGGCCACAGCCCACCAGGTGGCGACCACTGTTCTAGGAGAAGGGAAACTCTGGTTGCAAACCTCCACTGCCTTGTGGCTATATCTATTCTTGGAAAAGGCTTCAGGAGTCAACCAGAAGGCAAAATCCAGAGCCGGCATCCTGGAAGCAGTTTGTGATTGTGTACAATCACGTTCTGGTAAACTGCTGCGATGCAGCTGGGACTCATCCTATCAGCTCTGCCATTCCATTAGACTGTTTCAGTGACGTGGAGATGCGGGGATCTGCTGCTTGGATAACAGTGTATCCTCCATATTAAATTACCTAGGCCTCGTGCTCTATGGAGAGGACATTCCAGCTTTGCATACAGCATTGAAACAACACGGGAAAACGGCACTTACTGGTTTCATAGCACGAAGTCGCTAAGTTTGAGGACCCCTGGTCTATGGGGTTTTTTTCCCCCCCCAAAAAAATCAAGATGGAGGCCACAATCCTGCAGCTGAAGCCCCCTTTCTAGTTGTAGCTGCCATTTTGATTGTTTTGACCCGTTGCAGAATCCTCTAGATCGGGGTCTCCAACCTTGGCAACTTGAAGACTGGTAGACTTCAACTCCCAGAATTCTTGGCTGGCTGAGGAATTCTGGGAGTTGAAGTCCACAAGTCTTTAAGCTGCCAAGGTTGGAGACCCCTGCTCTAGATTGGCTCTCTTCAGACTTCAAATTGACCATGTTTGTTTGTTTTTTTAAACACACACACAAAGAAATTGCGATTTGTTGAAGAAGCAACAGAGTCCGGAGAAAGAGACCCAACGTTTCACACACCACACTCATGAAAAAAAAAATCTCCCTCATGCAAAGCCTAAGATGGCCACTCAGGGGCGGAACAGAGACTCCCACTGGCTGCCCCCTAGTGGCTCCCCAGGGTTTTGCAATCCAGATATCTAAACACACACAAACACACACACACACACACACACACACAGAGAGACACAGACACACACACACACACACACACACACACGCTTCCTAGCTGAGCCTGGGATCTGGGCCCTGCTGTGAATTCCCTCCCCGCCACATTGATGCCAACCTGGTGGATTCCCCCCTCCCTTGCCCTTCCCCCCCCCAATGCAAAACTGGAGGGTCTGGGAACTCACAGGCGTCCTCGGCGATAGTTGGCCTCTCCCATCTTCCGGCTCTTGATCATCAGGATGGTGCCAGTCACAATGCCCACAAGGCCGAACGCCAGGCCCACCGCACACACCACATTCTCCACCGTCTCCGGGAGGGGCTCTGGCATATTGTCGTCTAAGGGAAGGGGAGGAAAAAAGGGACAAGGTGGGGGGGGGAGGCTGCCATCTGGCGGGAGCATGTCCTACCCAGCAGGCGGCTGCAGGAATTCCCTGGGAGTTTCCCACAGTGAGCGTTTGTTCGGGGATGGGGAGGGAGGGGCTGGCAGTCAGCACAAATCCAATTTCGGCAAGCCACGGTAGCCTAAGGCTGCAAGGGACTTTGGGGGTCAGAGCAGGAACCTTCAAACTTTCCCAGACAAATGGTTGACCAGCCCCTTCTTGAAACCCTCCAGTGAGGGACCTCCCTCTCCACTCCCCACCCCCCATGGCTTCAAGTGGCAGGTAGTTCCCCTGTTTCATCACTTTCCCCACCAGGAAATTCCTCTTTTCGTTCAAGTTTGCATCTCACCCTGTGGAGTTGCCACCCATGGCTTCTACCGTACCTGGAGAACGTCCCCTTCCCCACGTCCACCACCCTGAAGGACCCCTGCCCCTGTGGGAAGATGCCACCCTACCTCCCCTCCCCTTCCTTACTTAGGCAAGAAAGACCAAAAGCACACATACAGACTGAGTAAAACCAGGCTGAATAGCAGGAACCGTGAGAGGGATCTTGGAGTCTTAGTGGACAACCAGCTAAATAGGAGCCGATGTTGTGCAGCAGCAGCCAAAAAAGCTATTGCAATCCTCAGTTGCATTAACAGAGGGATACAATCAAAATCAAGGGAAGTACTAATATCACTCTATGAAGCCTTAGTAATGCCACACCTAGAGTACTGCATCCAGTTTTGGTCACCACACTATAAAAAAGAGGTTGAGACTCTAGAAAAAGTGCAGAGAAGAGCAACCAGGATGATTAGGGGACTGGAGACTGAAAGATACGAAGAAAGGTTACAGGAACTGGGCCTGGCTAGTCTAGGGAAGAGAAGGACCAGGGGAGACAGGATAGCATCTTCCAATATTTGAAGGGCTGCCACAGAGAGGAGGAGGAGGGGCTCAAGCTATTCTCCAAAGCACCTGAAGGCCAGACAAGGAATAATGGATGGAAACTGAACAAGGAGAGATTCAACCGGGAAATAAGGAAAAATTTTCTGACAGTGAGAACAATCAAACAATGGAACAGAAGTCGCCCTCGGAAGTTGTGGGAGCGCCATCCCTTGAGACTTTCAAGAAGACATTGGACTGCCATTTGCCAGAAATGGTGTAGGGTCTCTCGCTTGGGCGGGGGGTTGGACTAGATGACCTACAAGGTCCCTTCCAACTCTGATCATCTGTTATCTGTTATCCTTCTCTCCTTCAGACCAAAGATCCTCAATAGGATTTGACCCCAGGCCTCTCCTACCTTTGTCCCTCTTTGCTGCCTCTTTAAGGTGTGTGTGTGTGTGTGTGTGTGAGAGAGAGAGAGAGAGAGAGAGAATCTCCCATCTATTGGGAGCACCTGAAGCCCCACCTGGAACATCTGGATGGTCACTCTGTGTGTGGGCAACTGTGGGGCAGACGGGCGCGAGGAAGGCAATCTTGGGAGTGAGGTTTTCCAAGGGGACACCCTCCCCTTTTCAAATTGGCTTAGATACATGGGACCCCTGACCCAAAAGTTTGCTCTCCCACCCCCATGTTCTGCTTACCCCAAATCTTGCCCAGGGGCTCCGTGAGGCCCCAATGTTCCACCTGGCACATGTAGTCGTCATCCATGTTTGGGATGAAGGGCAGGTAGGAGAACCGGCGGAAGGCGTGGTCCTTCTTGGGGTAGTAATCCGTGGTCTGCACCCCTTCGGTCACCCGCTGGCCGTTCTTGAACCAGGCCATTTTCAGCACCGGCGGAGAGAAGTTGTCCGCCATGCAGATCAGTATGTTGGGCTCCCCCATCTCCGCCGCCTTCTCTGGGTACAGCATCAATTTTGGAGGCACTGCGGGGGGGCGAGAGGAGAGGGCTTCAGTTGGGATTGGGTGGAGGGGGGTTACTTTGACTTCCTACAACCCTTGGAGGAAAAAGACCATCCTTCAACGACGGGAAGGTCCTCAAGGAGAAGTCTGAAGGACATCTGGCTGGGATCAGAAGTCCACTTCTTGGCCCCGTGAACGGTTAGGGGCAGGGAGAGAGAAGACTGGGGTTTGGACCAGGCCAATCAATCGATCGATCGATCAGAATAGAACTGGAAATAGGTGATCTTCTGGTTCAAGCCCCTGCTCAAACAGGAGACCCTAGACCAGGGGTCCCCAACCACCGGTCCATGGACTGGTACCGGTCCATGGAACAAGTCCTACCGGGCCGCTGGCTTGCTGGGCGCCGCCATCTTGTTTTGATGAAAAAGTGCTTCCGGTGAGCTTTCTACCCGGAAAAGCTCACCG